GATGCAGTCCAAATTTGTATTTTAAGCCAGACAACCATGCATTAAAAATAACATCTGTCTTGACAGAGGCCTTCAAAGACTTGTGATAGATTGTGGCATCTCAAACATGCTTATATACATATATACAGATGTGTATATATCAACTATTTTCTCAGTTGATAATATTAAAATCTTTCTCTTTCCATTCTCCTCTGCAGCAAGCACAGATTATTGTAAACAATGCCCTGAAGCTCTACTCTCAAGACAGGACTGGTATGGTGGATTTCGCCTTGGAATCTGGAGGTAAATAGCAGAGGAAACACCATTTTTACTATTAATGTTATTTACAGTATTTACTAAAAATCTTGAAATAAAGACTAGAGGTTAGTACATCATCCTTGTGTGTTGCCCGATCATCAGACTATTGCCATCTATGCCTGTTGTTTACGGGGTTATATATCAGCCTGGGCATGTGTGGATGGGGATGGAATAGCTCTTCTAAGCGTGTGTCCAACTGGATAACAGAACCACAGATCTGTTTGTGTGGGGTGTGCACACACCGCTGAACTCACTAGAGAAAATGTGTATTTTTCAGCCCTCTTAAATGAAAAACCTTTAACATGTTCTTAAAATAACATTGTACTTGATAGAAGCATTGTATCCCCAGAAAATTATTAGACTTCAATAGTGTTCTTTTCTGAGGAAATTAATTTTTGTATTAATTAAGCTTTATACAAATCTCTGCTTTAAAAGTCTTCAGGAAGAAATCAGTAATTATTTTTGCTAACCTGATATATCTTTCTTGAGGTGGCAGCATTCTGAGTACTCGCTGTTCTGAAACCTATGAGACCAAAACAGCATTAATTAGCCTCTTTGGAATTCCTCTGTGGTACTTCTCTCAGTCTCCCAGAGCGGTGATTCAGGTAATTAAAGGCTGAGTAAACAAATTCAGCAATGTTAATTTTGTGTTGAACAATTTGGACTGGGTTTTTTTGGATGCTGGATGTTTCTATCTGTAATATATTGGGGGGCACAGGTGCTTTGAACTATATTCCCAAGAGTAGGATTCTTTTGGTAGCTCCTGGGTACTGTTTAGGTCCTACTCTAGCAAAACTAAACCCTCATAGGAGGCTTGGGTGGTGCACTGGACTTTTGCAAAGTATGAGCACTGGGAGGGTTCCTGTTGAGAAGTTGTCTCAAAGTGGGTCTTCAAAACACTGCTGGTAGTTCAGGTGGATGTGCCGTCTTCCTGAAGAGTTCTACCAAATAGATTATATGCTGCCACTTACTCCCTAAGAATTTATTAATACTCTTTATTACAAAAAAAAAAAAACAAAACCAAAAAAGCACACTATAAAATGCTTATGGCTGTTTTTGTTGTTGTCGTGTCCAATCCTGTTCTCTCCCTCCTCCTCTCTAGCCGGACATGTATCCAGGAAATTGCTGGGCATTCAAAGGATCACAGGGATATCTTGTAGTTAGACTTTCAATGAAGATCTATCCAACTGCCTTTACAGTGGAACACATACCAAAATCACTTTCACCAACTGGGAGTATCACCAGTGCTCCTAGGAACTTTTCAGTATATGTAAGTCTGCCTCTGAACCTCAGTTGATGTTTCTATGCATAAAGAATATTTGTGTTGCATATCTTGGAAAATAATGACTTAAGGGAGGATAGGTAGGAAGAGAAACTGTTTCTTTCATTGCTTTTAAAGTTGATCATATTTTTTAATGAGCTTTGAGATTAGGAATCAGAAGTGATATAACCAATTTGGGGGGAGTTGTTTCTTTTCTCTTGCTTTATAAAGTAGTAAACATTTTTGGAGGGAGATTATGACTTTTAATTTGGTATAGTTCTTTCATACACATTAATGGTTCCATCCTTCTTCCACTCCTTCCCCTCCCCTGCTCCCTAGTTTTGGCTCTTCATCTATCTATGATGTACCTTAAATCTTTTTTTTTTAAATTGGTTTTAACTAGCACCACAGTTGCGTGGGCACGATTGCAGAACAGAAGACCACAGGCTACAGCAGAGTACAGTTGTGATAGCTGAGAATTTTGTCTAGTTCTTTTAAATGCTTAAGCAGTGATCTGCAAGAACCTGAATCTTGTCTTCCATCTTGTTTATAACCTTGATGCTTTCTCGTTTTTGTTTGTTCTGAGCAGTTTATATTATACACTGTGATTGAGGTTTTGCCGTGGAAATTAAAGGATTTGACCATGAAAACATATAGATGTAGCACAACTGTTTGCAGTGCAGGAAATTCAAAATACAGAGCTGTGCCTGAACAAGCATTAAGTTACATGGGAAACGTTCTGATCTTGCTTTGATAGACTTCTGAGTGCTGTCTGCTGATGCTCAGTTGTGTAGGCATGCTTCTGGTTTTGGTTTGATTTCAAATTTGGCAGAAGCAAAAATCTTTGTCCTGTTGTTATAGGGTCTAGATGATGAATATCAAGAAGAAGGCAAGCTTCTAGGACAGTATGTCTATGATGAAGGAGGAGAACCACTGCAGATGTTTCCAGTGATGGTAAGTCTGGATGATAAGATTTAAAGTATCGGGAGAAAGATACTTGTATTTTCTATGGTAGCACGCAATGAGCAGTGAAGGAAAAAGGCCTCGTTCTCTGAGCTCTGTAGAAACTGAGGTGGAAAGTGTCTACCTATCTGCCTCAAAAGCTGGGGTCTAAATAGATTGGAGAGGAGGAAAGGCTTGTGCCATCTGGACAGAAATGCTGTGAAGATGCTAAAGACATGAAGATCTGCTTCATGCTTCTTCTGTCTGCTGTCACAAATAACTAGTAGTAAGGCAAGGAGGGTTCTGTGCAAAGCAGCAGAGAGGTCCCAAGGCGTGACTTAGTTATTAATAAAAGCTGGTAGTTGCAGGAATCCAAGAAAGCCACTTCATTTGCACATGTTTATACTGGAAACCTAACTCTGGCTTGTGTGTTTGCTTTTTCTTTCTCCAGGATAAAAGTGAAAATGCATTCCAAATAGTGGAGCTGAGAATTTTGTCTAACTGGGGACATGCAGAATATACATGCCTTTATCGGTTCAGAGTGCACGGGAAACCTGCCGAATGATCTTCTACACTACAGCTTGGTTTGTTTTTGTTGTTGTACATTTTGTTCTGAATTTGTATATACCGGAAAGCCTAGAACACTGGAATCTTTAAAGGACGAGGATGCAAGATATATACTGCAGAACTATTGATCCTCTGATAAAGGCAGAAGACTGTCAGCAGAACTGTATAAAAAAAATAAATTTTATTTGCTCTAATGCTCAGCTTGTAATTGCCAGTTAGCTTTATATTTTTGTGTCCATGCTGAGAAGAATAATGCATGCAAACTACTCTGCTTCATAAAGCCCAGTTGGCAAACAGGTGACACCTATTTTATTACAAATGAATGTATAGGGCTGGCTTTTTTCTTTTTTTCTTTTTTTTTCTTTTTTTTTCTTTTTTTTTTTTTTAAAAAAAAAAAGTCTCTATTTCTGCAACTAGGAATCTATTTTGTTAAAATCCAGGACTTGACTGCATATTTCTGTTAGCTTGGCACCAAAAGCCAAAAACTGTGGTACATTTTTAAATGCTGACTGTGGCTAAAGGTGTCCTTCAGCTGACCCTTGGTTTGGACCTTTTTGGTGTGTCCAAAAGGTCTTCTTTGAGACATGTTGAATATAATAAGTATTACTGTCAGGGAAAGTTTAAACACCAGCAACTGAGAATGATTTACTGTAATCTGTGGCCATGAATTGCTCTCAAAGTGAGAGATAACTTTAATTGAAGTTATTTTAAGGATTTTTACCATAGCAACTTGACCAGTTTCTTCTTTAGTGTTAATTCTAAATCGACCTTGATGTACTGACTAAATGGATTGGAGCTGATAAGCCTGCTAAATTGCTTAGTAAACATTAGTATACAGCAATTAAACAATCTTAATTTGTCAAAAATGATCTCTTTGGGACAAGAATTCTTTAGGCTGGTTCATTGTTACACGCAGTATGTGGAAAACATGACTGAAGTAAACAAGGACTTTGCTCACTACTGCTGGGTTGAAATACACGGGCATTCCTTAGATCATCCCCAGAAACCTTAGTTGGGTATCAGCAGACTGATGTCTTGCTCTCAGAAGCAACATTTCCACCTGGAATGAGATGAAACTGCTTATTTGCTGCCCCTTAGGATTGCTACTTTGAAGATCCTTTTTCAAAAAAGATTCCTGAACTGTACTTGTCTGCAGAATTTTTATCTTGCTGTTATAATGCATTTTATAGTTACACCCGAACTGTTACCACATGGAACTGCTGACTGGTTTTCTGAATAGAGTTTGTATGTTGCACAACAGTCCTCGAATGTTTAAAAAAAAAAAGTCTCTATGTGAAGACCTTTTTTTTTCACTTGAGCTCGAGACAGAACCTATGGCCTACACAGAGGAGCTGACTACATATGTACAGGTGTTTTCATATTATAGGTTACATATTTAAAATTAGAATTGTCCTGTATAAATTGAAATTAGGTAGCCAGGGTGGGAATATTTTGAATAACACTAACTTATTTTTTAAAAAAAAATAAAAAGAAGCGAGATAGGACTTTGTGCAATGTATTTTTGTAAATGCTTTTCAAAATGTCTGTTATTCTCTGCTGCCTCCAAACTGACAAGATGCTATTGAGATGTTTAAATAAAGAGTTTTAATTTTTGAAAGTGCATGTAATATTTGAAACAAACAAAAAACAAATAAAGCTTTTTTTCTGTATTTTTGATCAGCTGCTTAAATAACAGAGGAGGGCAGAGACTAGGCCAGGGGAGGTGGCACAATAGGTTTTTCCTCCCTGGATGCTGACTGTGGGTGCTGGGGTGAGGAGTTGGGGTGTCATTCGGCTCCTCACAGCTCTTTCTCCAGTGTTTCTGGGCAGCGTTTTCAGCACCCATGGGAATGTTTGAAGAAAAAAACCGAGTTGCTTGATGATTTTTATCGGTGTGCAGTACAGTTGTGAATTGTTGGGGGCTGGGGGTTGGCTTCTGTGTTTGATGTTAATGCGGTTTGCTCAGCCGTGGCTCTGGCCCGGAGCTGTAGCAGTTCTCTGCCTGCAACTCCCATCAACCCATCCTGCATTTTTTATATCCCCCATTTTCCCTGCCTGGTTTTGCGGTGCGGGACCCGATCCCTGACACGGGT